ATTGGTCTAGTAGTTGAAGTCGACCTACCCTTCTCTTCATTGTTGTGTTGAGCCCTCAGTGTCATTCGTGAACGCTATTAATTATTTCTAGTCGTGCAAATTTATCGTGAGCTAGGAACTGCTATATGTATTCAATTTTTAAGTAACATAAATATTGATAATAAAGGTTTCTAGTTAATATTTCATGTGTGTTGTACGTGGATACTAAGGAAGGACGTCCTTCTGATTGGTTTATCGGACGGAACAAGGTAACAGAATAAGGGATTCAACTTACAAGGAAGCAGAATTCGGTGAAGGGTTTCGAGGAAAATGCACTGCAAGTTTTCACAACTTTGACGTTTACCCCGCCAACATTCAACAATAGCTTTTTTCTTAAAGGAGGATTGCACGGAAAGAACGAAGGTCGAAGAAGGGAGAAATCGCCTAGTGGGGAGAGCGGTGAATCTCTTGAGGGTGCGGACAGACACGCAATCGGCATCGAAAGATTTGACCTCTGAGATCTAGCATGGCTCAAAGTTGGCGAGTTCGGCGATCTCCGCCCACCGATCGTCTGATCACTCGCCGTAGTACAATAGGTGGCGAGTGATTAGATAGCTGAGAGAGCGTAGGGTTGAAGAGGGCAAAGCGATGAGAGTCCCATCAATGCTCAAATCAACGGACAAGGAAGGGGTCCCATTTCTCCGGTTCTGGGCCGTTTTTCGTGGTTTCGCTTTCTTTCTGGTACTACTCACCATCTCTACCTCAATTTGGAATGGGTTGCTTTTCCATCGTAAATTCGTCCTTTAATAAGTTCGTATAGCATACATTATACGAAGTTATACGGCCTGAACAGGAGGGTAGAAAAGGAAAAACACACTCAGTCAAAAGGCAGCGCAACCTTCAAGGGTGTTTTAGGGATGGTAACCTCGCCAGCAAGAATGCCCCTAGGTTCGCGGTAGGACCCACCCGCGCCGCATCAAGCCCACGTCTGGCCGGTCTTGGCTCAAGCCGTTGAGCCAGAGAGAGCGGTTAGCGCTTGAGAATGAGGTGCATTGAGAGTTGCATCGATATCGAATCACGGGCAAAGAAAGGGGTCCCATTTTTTCTGGGTTCTGGTCCGTGTCTCTCGTTTTTTCATCCTACCACCTCTAGCTTTGATTTCTAATATGCTGCCTTTTCATCGTAAGCTTCGCCTCTAAAAGCAGACAGGGCAGGCAAATGGATCACCGTTAGATTGAAAGAGCGAGATTCAGTGATGGATGACAATCATCAGTAGTTACGACAGCTATATGATGTGATTCGCCTGGCCCATCTTCAACTATTTTGGCGCAGGATTGGCAGCTCCTCACACCCTGCTAGCGCACACTTCTAGGTCAACATCCTCAAAGGTAGACCGTTCGGGGATTAGGCACGCTCACGTGTATCCATACACCTGTTACATAGTTAGAGAAAGCGTAGATAGTCGCGCCCCTCGCAGTTTTAAAAGTGCGCGACAAAGGCGGCTAGAATTCGCTCAACCCGTATCCCACCCTTTCATCCGAAGCCCCGCCTTCGGTTGTTCGGTTGTCCGGTGCGCGGGCGCAGTTGCGACAAAGGTTGCATTGCGGTTAAATGTCACGAGAATGGAGCAGCTGGAGCTAGGTCGGAAACTCGTCCAACAGGCCCCTTCTCTATCCCAAGGGTAAGTGAAGGAGGTCCTTATTCAAGGCGTATTCGAGTTTCTCTTGCTTTCTTTTTTCCAGACCAACCCCACCTCCAGCTTCATTAGTGAACACTCTTTCACACCTATTTTACCCCGAAGCTTACCTTCAAGAGGCTTTCTGTGAAGGCGGGTGTTACCATGAGCATTACGCTATCTCGCTAAGAGAGGTGCTATTGCCGCGATAGTGCCACGCCGTGGTTCCTTAGGGGCCTAGATTCTCTTTACAGCAGCCGTATCCCCCTTCTTCAACATCTGATGGCGCATTACCTGTTAAAGTTCATCTCAGCCTCTTTCAATAGCACTCTGTATCGATTCCGGGCTCCGTCAGAGGTTTCTGTAAGTTTTGGAACAAGGCACTCAAAATGCACATTAGTCAAGCTAATTCTAGCTATAATAACTATGAGATTCTTACCCAACTTGCAAAATAAACAGCTTCGGTTGTTGAAAACGTTCGAAAAATCTCTTGGATTAGACAATGATATGTATTGGCAGTATCGGTATCGAGTGAAACGATTAAACCTCAGAAGACATCGCTGGAGCGCTCTGTGACATCGTCAGGGTCCTTGCCCTGAATTCGCTGTTCACCCATGTTTCAGCCGCATTAGCGGGCGCAGGCAGAACTCTGGTGGCAAGCAGATTCGTGCGAAATTCTGGTTCAGCCGAATGGATGATGTCTTATTCAAAAGGATCCAAGGTTGCCCGCTCTTCTCTTTGACGTTCTTAGCTCATTCTTAAAGATCAGGATCGGGATCTAAATGGTGCGCTAATTTTCTGAAATTAGACAAGATATGCTATGAGGAACGTTAGTGGGAAGAAAAAGCAAAAAGCGCAGTAGAAAACACTGAAATTTCCCTTCTGAGATCGGCCGTAGTATGACGGAGAGACACAGCGCTGCGAGGAGAGGGAGACGCGAGATAGTACGTCGTACGCGAGAGAGTGTAGACGACACGCATCTGTGATTGCCGCCAATAGTAATTTGACCTTCACTGGATCAACCGAACAATTTCGAGAACTAAATATTTATTGATCGAAAACCAAGATAATAAATTAGTAGTTACACTAAATACAATAGTATGACAACGATGCATGAAAATGACAGACAGTGTTTGGAAAAATTTAGAAGAGCTTACAATTGAAAGGACCTGAAATGAGCATGGTCGGCAAGTGGTACGGATTTCGAAGCAGAGTCAACCGTACGTCTGACTCCGCCGGGCAAGCTGAATAACGGTCGAGGAAATCCTCGACCATAGCGTGCGAGAGTAGTGCCGAGAGTGAACGTACGCGCGGAGAGCACAGACGGCTCGCGCATGGCGAGTGTGAATGTCCGCGCGAGAGAGCGTAACTGATCAGGCGAAAATCCTCGACGTGCCGTTGAGGAATCCTCGACGATATTCACCCTGCCGACGGAAGGTCGTATTATAAGACTGATTTTTAAGTGTTTGTGATTGTGCGAGGGAGTCATGGTGAAGAAAGCCAAGGGATGATGGTGTAGGGAAAAGAAAGAGGAAAAGGCCGTTCCGGAGAGTTCCCCTGCTATTTGCGAAAAAATTGTAAGATGGGCGAGATTAAAGCAGCCGCCGTCTAAACAACTCTAAACAACTCTACCGCACTTCACAAAGGAATTTCGTCGCGGAGCTGGAGCGTGTAACTCATGGTTAATACCAAAATCAAAAAGTACTGTAGAAACAGAATAAGAGGTGTAAGCTTGAATGGGTTGAGGTACGAGTTTAGGGACCCTTAACCTATAGGGCGGTACTGTGTAGGGTCGTGCATGTAAGACAAAGCCGGAGTGAGTCGTAAAGTTACTTGAATTGCCCTAACGTGACGGTTGACTGAGCCTGGCAATGAGACGAAACATCCTATTAATAAGGCCATGGCTAACCGTTTTTACAGCTGATAAATGTGGAGAGCTGGTTTGGAACGATATAAAGAGGCTTCGTAGCTGTAAATTTTGAAAAGCTGAAGAATTACTTCCCAGGGGCCAAGATCAGGTCACAGAACGCGATCTGTGCGTTACATTCGCCTTGGGTAGACTGATTTTTGAAGATCTGGAACTAGGGGAGAACGCAATGAGGTACATCGAGACTTGTTCTCGTCAGGGAGATGGCGCTCAAAAGCCAACGTGGTCGTGGTAACTAATACAGCAGCAATGAAAACGAGCAATAAGGTGTTCAAAAATCTTAAAAGTTACCATGCGCACCAGTCATATGGGCGGGGTTTGCGCCCAGCAGCTACGGCATATCTCGTTGGTTAGCCGTCCCTCATAATATGCTCAAAGACGTTAAGAGCAGTAAAGCAGTGGGGCTGTTCATTAAGACTCCTACATGTAGCGGGCGCGCAACCGCACTTATCTACCAGGTTCATTTATGGATGCAGGCAACGTGATTCTGTAATGACATATTTTTGCATCACGTGTGACAAATGTCCATCTGCATCAGGAATCTATTTTTCGAGGGAGTGCCCTTAGAGAAATGCGCTATGAAAGTAGATCATAACGTCAAAGGGTTAAAGTTTTTAACGTGATTGCTAGCCTGTGATTACAAAACAACAAGGAAATTTTCCACTTTCGACTCTTTTTGATGCATGTAACCAGTAGTTGGGTCGTAGGAACGTCGATTGCTCCAGACCCAAGATATACGAGTACTCGATTTCCTGGTAGGCTTTTGCTGATTTAACTCGATTGAAAACAAGGAGTTCACCTAGGTACATATAAAGGCATGCTCATGTAAGAACCAAACGATTTCTAGGCCAAACACTTATACATGAGTTTTATTACATACTTCCTACATCTTCGGTAGCCTAGAAGTAACCCTTGAGAACCCTCGTGGTGGGCTTTTGTTCGTTTTAGCTGTTCCACTACAGATCTTCATTCGGGGATTATCTACACGGCTTCAAAAGCTCGAACGTAGCTCGGTAGCTGTCAGCGGCTCGTGCGGTACCACGTTTTCGAACTGGAATGTGGCAATGAGACCTAACCTTTGCAATGCCTTTCGTGGATCAGCCGACGTGCAAATCAGCGTTTCTGTTTGTAGACAAGTCTGGCGCCGAAAAAATGTTCTCGGTGGGATATAGGCAGGGTTATCTGTTACATAGAGGTGTTTCTGGCCCTGCGATCACTTAACACATTTCTTACACTAGCCCCGCCCCTAAAGTTCCTCCCAATTTTTTGTCAAGCAGCAAGGGAGAGGGTATATGGCCTCAAAGACCCTCCCCCCTATTCCTTCATTCAGAAAATCCTAACGGGCGGTGACCCTGGGAAGGTACAAACGGTTTGAGCGGACGAAAGTAAGGATTCGAAAAGAAATAATTGTTCAGTTACCGCATCGTATGTCCCATTATTCAGAGGGATTTTATCGCATCTCCAATGGTGCATGTTGCCAGAGACGTCGTTGCTTGTATACAGCCTGTAAAAATAGAGTGCGATTTACAAGAATTGGTCAGCAAAAATTTTGTGTTTCATTCAGTCTACCCGGGATTCCTTTCCTACCAAGATCTTCATCAGCTTCTTACACATTTCACACAGATTAATGAAGCGAGCTTTCAGTTCGTTTTAATAATCAAAGAGAAGAGCAAAGCTATTTATTGTTACAAACGCAGTGAGATTAAAGGCAGTGATCGCGATGTAGAAATTGGTGCGATTTTGATGACGTCATTGAACAATTGGTGGAACAGCGTCGGGAGGCGGTCCCAACCACACCCCCAGCGCGATGGAAAACTAGTTCACCAATAAGCTCAAATGACGTCATAGAAAATCTATCAGCCATCGTGATCATCTTGCTCTCAAAGGAGCATTCCATTGGGATCGTCTTTTTGCCAATAAATATCCTGATGCCATAGTCACAGTTCAACCTGTGATATGAGATCTTGCAAATCAGAAATTTGTCTTGACCTGAGGGAGCCATTATGAGCTCAAGGTGGTCGTATACTTAATGTTTACTTATTATTTATTATTGTTTATTTGTTTATGTTTTGTTTACAATTTTGCTTATACTATATATACGTACTGAATACATAATAAATACATATTATACAACACTGGTGATGTTTGACCTTAAATAACTAATTTTTACCACATCACCTACCGTTCTCGATCACTTTCCTGTGTCCTACTGAGATAGACGACGAGTTTACTGCGGTAACTTGCAATGTAGTAGCAAAATTCGATGGCAAAACTTCGTGACATCTCAAACGGTCCTAATGAAAGCGATGCAGTGCCCGGACCAATGGCATACGCGAACGGACCATCTGAATTAACAACAAATAGCTCTGAGCGTCAAAGGGTCGAAATATAGGGTTATTCGATGTTTACCTATGATCTCAGCATGAACGTGTTCTTAGATTCTGAGCCACAAGTAGTGACAGAACAGCGCTTTACCTTGGTTAGGGTTGCCTGGCGACGGCTTCCGCTCCAGACTAGCAGCGCGGTCGCTGACCCTGTCCGTAGACGCTTTAGCCTCCTTGGGAAAGAGGTAGAGCGGGGCGGTTACGGTGATGACGACATTTATCGCTGTACCCCTCAAACGGGAGGATTTCGGCTCATTTTTCTCAACTTCATCTTCACTGCTGCGCCACTACTGCTTCTGCCGTACCCACTGTCTTCACCTTGTGAAGTGATCTTAAAGCAACATCCAGATCAAATTTTTGAGCTAGCAGCGGTCGATAATGGAGTTATGGACACCGAGTTGACCCAGGAAAAAAGCAAAGAATGCCGTCGATGAACCCTAAACATGGATTTCCTCGAAATAAGGAAGGGGCGGGGGTGAGACGAGTTGCACGAACTTGCCTGCTCCACGGCTCAAATAACTGGCGCGTACTTGAATTAGCCGCTACGCCGTAATCCACGCCACGTGTCATGGAATGTGAATAACTTAACTCGTCCAAATGCTTAGATTAGTCGCCAAATGCTGACTTTGTAAGACCCTAGCGCCATTGTCGCGCACCTTTGAGCCGCCACAACGGCACATTGTGCTACTCGTGGGCTACTCTATCTTACCCACGATTCGTCGACACGGTCCTGCTGGTGTTGCTTAAAGTCACTAAAAAAGACATGGCACTGAGCTTTCAGCATAGTCGTTTTTGTTGGAGGCGGAAATGAATTATTCGTTGAATGCACCTATGGAAGTCATGAATAATGAAGTAGCACACTGCCCATCCAGGAAGTCCTTTCAGATTAATTTGACGTCACCCTTGGCCTCCACCTGGCTGTCCTAACTTGAACTTGTGCTCGGCAACACAGGTATCGCCTTTCACTTAGTAGCACTGATGGCTCCGGCTACCTTTTTGCGATGATTTCAGGTTTCTTTGTTCTAATAGAGCCTAACTCAAAAGGTGATCACCCTTTTCTTCGTTTTCCAAATTCTAGCCATTTTTCGGAATAGAATTTGAGCCTGATTCTGAGCTGCACTGATCAAGTGGTAGTAGATGACCTGATTTCGGTTAGTAGCTTTTTCGGGCAGCGATAAGGACGGAGGGTGGCGAGGCCAGTGGTGGACTGGACCCTCAGCGCGCTGGGAGTGTGGCTGGAACCGCCTTACGACGCTCTTCCACCAATGACGTTCAAGTACGTCATCACTACCGCCCCGCCTCCCATGTCTAATCACCGCCTTTCGAGTCGGCACTTTTACTAGCCTCCGACAAGCACACGGAGCCAACGCAAGTGCGTGGGTAGGCCATGGTTAACGCTTGGACCACTTACCCAACTGTGTGCGAATGCCACTGGATCGCGATCCTACTGGCTCTTCACCGATCCTCCAATCACTGGAATCAAGAGTTTGAAGGCAGGAACCGCCCTCAAAGTCGCATTGTAGGGCTGAGCACGTTTTGGGTGAGAGCTTCACTGGCGGCTCATAATGTGGAACTGAAATAGAAGAGGTAAGTAGCGTAGTTAAATTAGTCCTGAAAAGTTTCGTGCTGTCTCGATTTTTTCCTGGTATCCTGTACAACCAATTCCACGTAAGTAGGTCAAGTGCAAGTGCAAGTTCTTCTACCCACACTTTTTACCCACCTAATGGAAACTAGAAATATTCAAAGGGAGATTACTGTAATCGTTGCTTGTGAATCGCATTAATGAGTAGATATTACTACATCAACAGATAAGTACATCCCCCATTAGAGACTATTTTTACTGTACTTCGCCAATGAAACTCTCGTTGAAGCGAAGGAAAATTACGTCCACACGCACAGGTACAGCAATTTCCTTCTGTTTCTCTTCCATGTCTTATTTATACTGCCATACGAAAAAATCGATAAACAGTTACGATAATCGGTTACTCAGATAGGAGCTTGAAGTACTTGAACTTGCACACAATTTGAGCAAGTTTCGTTTTTTTTTTCGAGTCATTTTTACACTTTTCACCCTTACACCCAAAATTGCAAATCAAAGAAGAAAAGAGAAGATAGACTGAAGTCTTACTCATGCGGCACTGGTACACCGCACTTGTATTGTAGGAGATGTCATCGATGATAGCAGCACCGCCTTGTTTGCCGAAAGCGTCCAGGGTAAAGTTGTACGCCTCGACTACTATCTAAAAATGATGTGCAACTAATAAATATCTTGTAAAGGACAATAATGAAAGGTAGGCTAGCATATTGCAGCAAATCTTGGTTGACCCCTTTCATGGACCTAAACACCGCTTCCCGCAGCTAAGCCCGCCTCCTGTATCATGCGTGGCTGTTGCTTTGAAAAAAATCGATAACGCTGCTTTCTTGATACACTCGATAGCGTCAGATTCCATAGACGTATCAAAATGATGAGGGGCACCATTCACAGAAAGAAAAACAGAAAGTGACCGAAGGTGAGTCTACGTCAGCAACTGCGACAGGTAGCACTGTCAGCCTTAGGCACTCTTTGAACTAGATACGCTGGGTACCCGACAGGAGGTCCCATCGTGCGCCAAGAAGGAAGAGCCGTGACGCGTGCTGTGCGATGCAGGACGTACAGTGAGTAGTACATACTATTCAAGTCGTGAAATACAGTACGCGCTGCGACTCGTCCGCTGACTCTGCCTTCTTGCGGCGCGACGAGCTTCCTGTCGGGTACCAGGAACGCTCACAGCTCGGAAGTTAGCACTCCAAGAAGGTAGCGCTATGTTCAGAAGCCTTGTTCATCTTAGGAGCGGTGCCACTCGACTATTGGTAATGGCGGTACGGAGCCTTGGCTAGAATGCCCACCGTCATTATGGTGGTCTATCCGGTATCTACTGATGGTAACCCTCCAGCGCTTAAGCACCTATGTGCCTTCTCATTGTCAGTTGAGAATATGCTAATTTACTCATTTATTGGCTTTTAAAAACTATTGTTTAAGTGGGCCAAAATAGAGGTTCTACTTTAATCCGAGAGGGGGGAGGAGCGATTTAAAAAGATTTGAAATATCTTTTCCTTCGAATAAACCGTGTTTAAGGATGCGCCATGCATTCTACTACCATTGAGGACAGTAATACTATTTTAATGGGATATAGTGAATAACGTGCGGTACTGGCTGATGTAAGAATGTGATTTTCCAGACAAGTGTAGTACCATTTATTCAAGGAAAGGCATAGTTTCCGCGGGGTAACTCCTGTTTTGAATTCGATCCCTACCGTGCCTGTGCGAAGCCTCTTGTCACTACACATCTGCCTCTGATATTATCAGGTTATTGTCTCCCTTCATGACGGAGGGTGGGGGGGTTGAGTAAATTAAACTCACTTGTTAATTGTATTTGTTTAATTATTATGTTTAATTATAATTTGTTAGCGTCTGTTAGATGTATTACAAGATAACGATCTCAAAGAAAAGTCAACGCTACCTCGAATGTGTACCAAATTGTTCCTGGAATTATCACTTTGGCCAGTTTTGTCCCATTTCTTTTCAGCGGTTCACTGCACCATTGATATCGCTTGCCCATTGACGGTCTCCTTTCAACGATACATTGAAACATGGTACTGTATTCAAAAAAATTGCACTGCTACTTCTAAGTAGCTGGATACTGCGAATTAGTCTCAGAAGCTTTAATTGAGCTCTAGAATTTTTTTCTCTGAAAGACATTTCGTTTTCCCAATAAGCTGTTCTTTTTGAGCGGTCGTATTGAAATTAGTATTAATCAGGACTATTGAGAAGGATTCTCGGGATTCGTCTATAAGTGCTCCTTTCCAGAGGAACTGGAAATGCGAAATTAGACTCATTCAAATGCACATTTTACGATTGCTTCGAAGAATCAACTGCTTGCACGAAAAATGTATCCTTGTCCGCAAGTGCACTGGTTGCACCAAGATTGCGGCGCGAGTTGC